AAATGTATCAATTTTCTAAATAGAAAATTCATTCTTAAAAAAACCTAAATATTACAGACTTGAAATAAGAGTTTGAGCACCAGTTTCTGTCCTGTCAGCCCACCTGTTCTTGCACCTTAGGAGTGTGATATGACTCTTCTGATGCTTGCTATTTGCTCCTATAAGCAGATTGCCATCTGCTGGACACAGTGAGCAGGACACTCTTTGCTGTGCTTGAGATCTGTGGTTGCTTTTATTCCTCCATACTCCTTTAAAATATAAAGGCAAATCTAGTTTTGAAAAGCACAAGAGTGAGGTCTCCAGAGAGCGAAATCTCCAAGCAAACGCTGGTCAACAGATGACATTTCTGGGAGGGGAGTAACAGATGCACTGGATGGTAGGGCTAAGATTCAGAGAGACTTCGAGAAATTAGAAATCTCCTGAGGCTCAATAAGGACAAGTGCAAACTCGTGCACATAGGACAGAAGAATCCCACATACCACTACAGGCTTGGGAAAAAACTGACTAAGCAGGAGCTCTGCAGAAGAAGACCTGAGGGTTACAATGGACAGTAAGATGAATATGAGCCAGCAGTGTACCCTTGTTGCCAAAACAGCTAACAGCAGACTGAGCTGCATTAGTAGGAGTGTTGCCAGCAGATCGAGGGACGTAATTATGCCCCTCTGTTCTGCACTGGTGAGGCCACAACTGGAATACTGTGTCAAGTTTTGGGCCCCTCACTATAGAAAGGATGTGGACAAGTTGGAGAGAGTCCAGTGGAGGGCAACAAAAATGGTTCAGGGGTTGGGGCACATGACTTATGACGAGAGGCTGAGGCAACTGGACTTATTTAGTCTGCCAAAGAAGTTGTAGCTAGACTGTTCTCAGTGGTGGCAAATGACAGAGCAAGGAGCAATAGTCTTAAGTTGCCATAGGTTTAGGTTGGATATTAGGAAAAACATACTCACTAAGAGGGAGGAGAAACACTGAAACAAGTTACCTAGAGAGGTGGTGGAATCTCCATCCTGGAGGTTTTTAAGGCTTGGGTAGATGAAGTCCTGGCTGGAATGATGTAGTTGGAGATGGTCCTGCTTTGATCCGGGGGTTGGGAGAGATGACCTCCTGAGGTCCCTTCCAACCCGCATTTTTCTGATTCTGTGATTTTATTCAGCATTGGTCAAGCCACATCTGGAGTACTTTGTCTAGTTCTAGGCCCCCACAAAGGATGTAGACAAATTAGAGAGAGTCCAGCGGAGGGCAGTGAAAATGGTGAGGGGGCTGGGGCACATGACTTCTGAAGACCCTGAGGAAACTGGGCTTACTTAGTCTGGAGAAGAGAAGACATAGAGGGGATTTGATAGCAACCTTCAACTACCTGAAGGGAGGTTCCAAAGAAGATGGAGTTAGACCAGGGGTTTTCAACCTTTTTTAACAAGTGTACCCCTTTTGCCTCAAAGTTTCAGCTTATGTACCCCTTTATTTTTTTCTAGTTTTTAAGGGGGGGGCAGATTGAGGCCCCCACAGTGAGGGGCCTCAATTGGGGGAGATGCTGCTGCTGCACCTTGGGGCGCGCTCCGTCCCTGTCCGCCTGCCCACCTGCATGTACCCCCTACAGCCTTTCTAAGTATCCCTGGGGGTACGTGTACCCCCAGTTGACAACCCCTAAGCTAGACTGTTCTCAGTGGTGGCAGATGACAGAACAAGGAGCAATGGTCTCAAGTTGCAGCAGGGGAAGTTTATGTTAGTTATTAGGAAGAACTTTCTCACTAGAAGGGTAGTAAAGTACAGGAACAGGTTACCCAGAGAGGTGGTGGAATTACCATCCTTAGCTTAAGATCCAGCTAGACCAGGGGTGGGCAAAATATGGCCCACCAGGCAATTTTATCCAGTCTGTGGGTGCTCACCAACTAAATGTACTCTACCCAGCCTGCGTGCCTTGCTTCCACCCTCATGGGTGTAAAAGCCCAGCCTAGCCAGCACACAACTTCTGTGTGCGGCTGCTGCCATTGCTGCAGTCACCGGGGGACCTGTTCAGATTCCCTGGTGTCCCACTCACTCCAGGCACCAGGCAGGGAAACGGCAGGGTTGGGGTGGGGGAGAGCAGCACCTGGGTGGGAGCACAGAGCATGGGTCTGGGGATGGTGGCAGCATGGATCCTGCTCCCAAGGGGGTGGCAGGAGCGCAGAAATCAGATGGGTAGGTTGTGGGGGTGAGAAAGGGTGAGAGGGGTGTAGGGACCCCCTATACATTCCCCCCATAGTGCACAGCCCCCACTGTCAGTGACAGCAGCAACAGGTGGTGGGCATTTGGGGCACTCATGGCCTGCACAGGTGCCGCCGCCCAGTAGCACATGGCTCTGGCCAGTGCTGCACGTGGTGGGAAGAAGTGCAGCCAGGCCGGCTCACCTCTATCATGCAGGGCTCTGCGCGGTGCACGTGCAGCTCCTGGCACTCGCGGGCCATCAGGGGAAGAGTTAAAGTCCCAACTTGAAAATACAAGAAGTAAAAGACAAAATACCAATTTTAGAAAGTGAGAAGGTGTTTATGAAGTATGCTCGCATTTATTTATTAAAGACTGCACTGCATGTACACTCTAAACTGTGGACTAGGCTATATACTGTACTTACACACTAAAGTTCATTTTAAGCTACTTCTGTGACTAAATTCTGGCAATATTGGATCTGTAAGCCCATTGTGGATTTTGCTTGCTTCTCTTTTAGTGGAGACTATAAGCAAGTGCCAGTCTTGCACTGCTTTCACTTTGGTAGTTCAAGATCGGGCCCCAAACAAGGGGGATAGCCACTGATAAAGTACAGCAGTTCTGGAAAGAGAAACTGCAAAATAGTAAATAGCTAAGACAAACTTTCATCATTCCCACTATGAATTAAATATAGTAAGTATGATGCTGTATTTTTCCCCCACTCTATAGTTAATGGAAGCACAAGGTTGTTTTCAGTAGTATGGATTATAGTTTCTCTAATAAGTCTAAGACAATTTACATTAAATTAATATTTTACACTGTGCCTCAGATAAAATACTTAAATGTCTCTTTTTAAGTGTTTTGCCTAAGCATATCTAAAGGGGTTCAGTCTGTTAATACATATTAATATCTTCCCTCTGGCTTCTGGAGCTCCCAGACCCTAATACCACTCCTTTTGAGTGGGATGGATGGCATCCTTGTCCCCTTGGAGCACATTTGTTCTTTGACTTAGAATCATATCCTGAGACCTGAATGCTTGCAACCCCAATTAAGCTAATGACAGGGCTTTTTTTGGAGGCTGGGAGCACCATCCACCTCTTAAGGATGAGATGTGTGGTCAGGAGCTGAATGCAGCTCTTCTGCACACCTTGCTTTTGTTGAGCTGGGAAATAAGGACGACATGGCCTGGACTTTAACTTGAACCACTGGTTGAACCCACCCATTTATAGAGCATTTCCATATTTTTTTCTAAAGTTTATTTCCAAAATGAGAAACGTTTATAAAACTTAGCTCTTTTGCTCAAACCAAGTGACTTTCACTCCTGAGGATTCAGAGTTTATTTTGGGTAAAGGTATTTAAATACAAAGGATCTTGAGTTGGTCTAATAAAAGATATCAGATTTACCCAAAGAACCTTGTCTGCCCAGGATCTTGAGAAAATTCTGCTCTGGGGGTCAGTTTAGAATCAATATTCCATGAGCTAAATTCTAGAGTGGTAATGTGTAAATCTGTAGTGACTCTCTTGAAATCCATGGAGTTGCTCCAGATATACAATGAAAACAGCACAGTTTGCTCCATTATGCTTACATGAGAGTTTCCTGACCTTTAATACACAGTGCAGCATAACCGAAATGAACCATTGTTGCAGTAGTGAAAAAATGTGTGGATAACAATCACATGCTTCCTTTGGAAAGAAAAAGGGGAGATCTATTTTTAATCCTACTGTATTTTGGTTACTTTAATCTCTCTATTCCACTCCCCCAAAGTTTATAGAGTTATGTACATTACCTCTATTGTCAGGGTTGTTCTTTGTGAGATCAGAACAAAATCTGCAACACAATATCTAGGATACAATCCAAACAAGTAATAAGAAAGAAAATTCTTAGGAAAATGACTCCGCCATTGTTCTTATCATGGAGAGTGATTATTTCCTTTGGAATTTAACTTGCCTACAGAGTCTGTCATAGAATAGTCTATTCAAAAGGATATCATGAATTTGAAAATCATACTTTGTCTTTAGAAATTGTGAACCTCTCCTAGACATCAGAAACCCTTCCAATTACTATAGCTAGAAGGAAGCAGTGACAAGAACATGCATCTTTCCTCTTTGAATTTTTTTGGTTTGTTTACGGCATGTATCTGACAACACTTTATCTGCAGTTAGTCTCACTGTTCCCCTGGATAGTCAGTAGGCCCCAGTTTGATTTACATGGCCAAATCCCTACATCTTCTCAAGACCCCATGGGAGTGTGGTGGGAGGGATTCTTTGGGCATTTACACACATGCTCCGGGAAATGGGGGAGGAGGGGGCGTCTCTGAGAGCCGTTTTAATTAAAGCGTCTGGAGCGTCACGTGGATCAGTGTCCCCACATTGAAAAATGGCAGCGGGGGCACTATAATGGCCCTCCACCATTTTTCAGCACGGGGATGCTGATATACATGACATTGGAGTCCGCCTTAATTGAGTCTGCTCTGATGTGCTGTAATTACAGCATGTTGGAGCAGCCTCCTTGCATGTGTATAAGCACCCTTTATGAGCTGGCAGGTCAGCATGCATTGATCTGACTGCAGGAGCAGTCACTTGGTTTTCCTTTGCTGAGAAATCCTTATAAAAACCAGTAGTGAAGCAGAAAATTCTATTCTCTTATATATGGATTTCACTGAGTTCTTCCAGCTATGGTAATCGGGGAGTGTGTGTGTGTGTGTGTGTGTGTGTGTGTGTGTGTGTGTGTGTGTGTGTGTGTGTGTGTGTGTGTGTGTGTGTGTGTGTGTGTGTGTGTGTGTGTGTGTTGTTTCTTTAAGAAATTCCAGAAACTGGAGGTTTCCAATTTTAAAAAAAGGTCAAGAGGACACTCTTGTTAAATGTAATACAGAGACAAAAAAGTATTCCCCCTTAGACTGAATGGCAGGAGTGAGCGTGAACATGTAAAGACCTATAGGAAAACGTTGGGGCTCCAAGATCTGTCAGTGCAGCCTCTCCAGGAACGTTAAGTCTTTTTATCTACAGTAGGGGGGAGTACATTCAGCATTAGTAATAGCGGTAGACCATGCTATAAAGCACTTCTGGTATAGAACCAATTATACTGTCATAGTTGCCCTTGCCTCATTTTAGTGAAACTATTCCTCTCCAACCCAATAAACCAAATAAGATATCTGGGTAAAATCACAGCTTTCTGGTATTGCTCTGTCTAAAACAGGTACTTTTGCTACCTAGCTGTTTAGGTCATGGAATTGTATGTCTTTACTCTCCCAACATAGCAATGCTGGCAGAAGTCAGTTAAGGTGGGCCTGGCCTAAGGGTGGGATTTCCAAAAGAACCTAAGAGAAGAACCAGACTCCTATCACAAGCCAGGTATGAAGATCCATTAGGTAATTTTGAAAAATCCTTTCCCAATTTAACAACCTCCCCTGCAAAAAAAACCTTAAAAACTATATAATTGATTGCAGCTAGCTTAGTTTGTTTTGCATGAAATATAGCCCGTGAACATGTAAGTATATACATATGCACTAGCTGAAACCCGCAAAACATTTGCGATTTAAATTTTTTTTGCAAAAGTATTTCTTTAAATATAGAATTTTTAGTTATCCTTTAACCAAATACTTTAATGGAATCAAAACTTCTCACATAAAGGCTATATAAAGCTTGTAAAGGCTACATAAAGCTCAGGGCCCGCTGGCAGCTTGCCCCGCAGCCATGGGAGAGGTGAACAGGCTCCAGGGGGGAAAAAAAAAAGTATCAGGCCCCTCACCACTTCTATTTTTTTATTCCCCTTCGGTGGAGCCTGCCCACTCTGCGGTGGGGGGGCCCCGGTGCTTCATTCTAGCTCTGACTTTCCTGCCTTGCCTGCACTGAGATTGGTTGTTTTAGTAAGCATTGTGATTGGCTGCTGAGACAACCAATCAGAGTGCTCCAGACAGACAGAATAAGCCTATTATTATTAGAAGTGGACAACAAACTATTTATCCCAGAGTCTTGATTATACTTTGAATTCTTTTACAGGATACCATTTGGAGGAAATAGCAGAACTGAAAACTTGCATCAAGAGGGTAAAGTACGAAAGTGACTCTCATGGTTCTAAATTAGAAAATTAAAAATACAACTTTAATAGCAGAAAATGTAAAGGCAGTTCATCCTTTCTTTCTGTCAAAGTCATGTATACATCTCAATGTCTTTTCAGAATTCCTGTCATTATGTATTTCTTGAGGGTTTAACATCTGCAAGCAGCCATAATAACTAATGTCATTATGTTAATTGTTTCACTTTTACATTGCTCTCTACATTATTTGTAAATCAGTAGATCTCAGCTGAGATACTGAGGTGCCCCTTTAAAGATCCTTCGATGGGTGATATGGCACCTGGCCCCTGTGCAAGGAGGTAAGTGCTGGCTCTGTAGCTGGTGGGAAGAGCTACAGGGGAGTCCCCAGAGGAGCAGCTGTAGCTATGGGGGCTATGCTGTCCCTCTAAGGGGAAAATGCAGAAAAGAAAAAAAAAATGAGCAGGCATGGCAGGATCCTGCCCTCACTTGGCACCTATACCAAACTCTGCATCCAGTGGCCCTTGTCACTCCCTTCCTCATCTTGTAGGGATAGCTACCTCCCTTAGGGGTCTAGTGACCCACCCCTGAACTCCCCAATCTGCCACGCTGAGCAGTCCATACCATTGCTAAACGAGGTGAACCACCTCTGCCATGCTCTGAAGGGTACCCTGCCCATTGCTACTTGCCCTGCCACCCCATGAGATCCTTTTAAGGGTGCCACAGGGTGCGAGAAGGTGAGTGCTGCAGGAAATAAATTGATTTTTGAAGGGGTGCCACTATATTCCAAAAAATTATGAAACGTGCCTCGAGTCTAAAAGGTTGAGAACCATTGTTTTACACTGAACTCTACCGCCTTTAGAAAGAACTTTGGGCTCCTTACATATTTGGTTGTGATGCTTGATTTTGTTGAGTTTTTTGTCTTACACTGATGTAGTAACATTTCTGTTTTTGTAGATGAGCACAGAAAATGGTTCTCTGCTGGAGAAAATGAAAGTACTTCAGAAAGCCACAGACAATAAGTCTCCGAGGTGTTGTTTGACGTTAGCTGTCCACAAGAGTACAGAAACTCTAACAATTTCCCAGTACAGTTCTTTTGACTGTGGATCAGGTATGTCATTCTCGGAAGGAACATCACTGCAGAATAAGTAAAAATGTTGAGCTGAATTTGCTTTATCTGCCCAACTCCAAGGGCCTTTATACACATACTTTTTTCCCGTGATGGAGATCCACCACTTTGGAGCAAACTCATTTAATTGAGTCTGCTCCACGTGCGAGCTGAAGCAAACTGCCTTGCACTGCATGCAGTTGTATAAGTGGCGAAATGCATGTCAGCACACAAAAAATGGTAGCAGTGAGCTTTTGAACTAAAGCACCTCCAAGGAGTTTTAGTTCAAAAGTGCACCACCACCATTTTCTCAGTGCCTGGTGCTGCAGTGTTTGCACATATAAAAATGTCCCAAGAGACTGATAACATCTGGTTTGTGATTTGTTGGTTTTGGAAACCAGCAGCAGAAGCTTGTCTCTTACCAAGTTATGAGCTGAAGAGTTTACCACTGTTTTAAGCCTTCGGTTAGAGTAAAATGAGTACAGTTAAACAAGGATTAGGGTTACCAGCTACCTGCAGCTACCCCTAATAGTGAACTTAAAGGGAACTTAGAAGTAGGTTTAACTCAATAGGACTCAGTTAGAAGTAGGTTTGACACAGTAAGTCTTCAGTGGATTCAGACCAGGACTGTGTCTTTGGGCAAGTGTGAGGTATGCATGTAAGGAAATGTCTTAGCTGTTAGTTAATAGTTCTGTTAGAAAAGTTCAAGTTCTGATTCCTTAGCATCCCATGTGTGAAAAGGCAAAAATACTAGAGCTGAAACAGCTTCACAGCTGGTATGAGCCTCCAGGCTGTTGCTTTGTGGAACATGGATCCATATTCCATGGGAAAGGCGCTATACAAACAAGACTTAACACCAGTCAAGTAACAGGGGTATTGTAAGTATCCATACTGATATCTAAAGCCTAAGTAGATTGACCTTCACTGAGGGAGGCATTAACAATTGCCCGTTGAGTTCATGCAGGCCCCTTTCCTGTCATGTCAGAGTGCCTCTCAAGTATTAGTTCTCAGGAGAGTCAGTCTTATCTTTTCTGGTGATGAGTTGCATGGTGTTTGTGCACTCAGACCTCTCCCTCTGTGGTTTATACCTTCAGTATTTAAAATATAATTGTTGTGGAGGATGAAGCAATCTCTTTGGGAGATAAATTCAATCCTGTAGAGGGTTTTGAACATCAGGACAGAAATCTTGAACGTTGAAGCTGTAAGACCCTAACATGGCTAACAGCATTTGGGTTGAAAAATCACAAGACCCTGACCAAATATTTAAAATGTGTTACCTTTGCACTAATTAAAATGCAGAGCTCTTTTTAACACTGTGCTTTGAAGTTTGCCAAAACAGTTGAATTTCATACCATAATTTGCCCTGCCAAATGTGCAAACAAATCAGAAACTCTACTTAGAAGCTAGAGGGGGTATAAATAGGACTTGATTGGAAGTCAAGATTCAAGTTTTAACTAGAGAATTACAAACAATGCCAGTTGAATAATGACTCTGTCAAGACTAAGATTTAAAATGTATGATAAAACATAGGATCATAGGAAAGTAGGGCTGGAAAGGGACCTCACAAAGTCATCTAGTTCAGCCTGCTGCTCAAACCATCCATCCAAGTGTCTGTCCAACCTGCTCTTGAAAATTCCAAGGATGGAAATTCCACAGTTTCTCTAGGCAGCCTGTTCCAGCCTCATAGTTAGGAAGTTCCTCCCCATCTCCAACCTAAATTTTCCCAGCTGAAACTTGAGGCCATTGCTCCTAGTCCTGTCCCCTATAGTGAGAGAAAAAACAAACAGAACACACACACATGAACTAGACACATTAAGAAAAACTGTTTGAAAGATCTAGTATAGACAAAGGACAGTATAGCTATCAGCATATGCTAAACTGGTTGAGACCAGAGCCTAATCTCTCTACACATTAGTGCATAATAAACTATTTCACTTAAAGGCAGATATACCTTGCATAGATTTTTTTAAACATGGTACTTAATACGTATCACCAGAGAGGTTTAAACATGATGTCTTTGTCTTTGTTAGACAGGGGCCATTGTGACTGGCAGTTAGGCCAGTTCTGCCCCAACATCCTTGAATGCCCCCCCCGAACATAATCCCTTGAATGTTACTCCAGTGAAAAGTAGCTGTTCCGTAGCCTTTACAGTACATTGTGGAATACATTGTGTTAATGTTAAGAATGTGTGATTTATGAGTCCACAAACTCTAGGTTTTTTTGGAAATAGAGCAATTGTTTCTTAGTTGTAGCCTCATAAAATGGAGTATTTTTGCAGTGGGGAAAAATCATAATTTGGAAATCATTCTGGAACTGTGGGAAGCTTTGAAGAATCAAAGTAAATTTACCTGCCCTCATGAAACATTAATGCTTTTTCCTACTGCAATACACAGACAGAGAAACAGTAGCTTATGCTTTGAGTTACTCACCACATCTACTGGTAAAAGATAATTAGGTGGAACAGAAATGCATTTGCCAGAGTTTGGGGGGTTGGGGGGAGTTTTGCTGGTGTTAAACCAGAAAATCAAATTGATATTAAAACTTTGCTGTCTACTACTTCATCATTGTAAAACTGACCTGTGCTCTAGGAAAGAATGTATTCCAATGTAAAACTGACTCAAAACAATAAGTAGGGAATTTTTGTCTCTTTCAGAAAGCACCCATTGCTTTGATAGCTGTCATGCAGCTACATGCATTTCCATGCAATGTGTTGCTGGGACAACCTTAGTGGAGGAAGATATAAGCTGAATGAAAGAAATGTATAACCAGCTGTAAGAACTGAGTTTGTATTTGTTGTTATGAAAATAAATGAAGGGGCCTGGATACAATTTTCCCACTGGAAAGTTCATAGGGGAGTGAAACACAGCAAGGAGCTCAGCAAGTATAGAACTAGAACAATGACAATTTGGTACAGCCAATTGTGTTTATAAAAGTCTGGGGAGATAGGTAAAACGGTGATTATTTACATGATAATGGTGACCAGTCCTAACAGGACTATTTATGTGAAATGAAGTGGTGCACATGTTTTGGAGCTCTTGGGAAGGACTCCTGAAACTGTTTCAGGTGTCTAGGGCCAGAGCTGTGTCCTTAGGTGTGTTTGGGCAACACTTGGCAGAATGGGGCCTTGGTCTTTGGAGTCTCTTGATTCCACACAACAGAAAATGGCAATTTGGACTTCTCCTGGGATTCGTGATAGGGCCATTTGCAAGCAAAGCTCTGCTACAATCCTAACTATAATTGCAAAGGTGTCATAACAAATATTCAAACCAATTTCCATGGAAACCTCAATTTCATCTCTGAATTTTAGCATGTTTTAAGACAGCAGGAGTGGTAAAAATCATGTAGTGGTTGTATGCATGGAGAGATGCTTATTCTTTGCATTAACTCTTTATTGGCTCAAATCTCTGTGTATATGAGAAAATTATGCATGCAAATTTAGAGACTTTTAAAAAATGTTATCTCCCCTGTAAAATGCCTGAATCAGATTCACATTTGGGTTTCCGTTCTCATTTCCTCTCAGCATAAATATGAGTCTGAGAGACACAACAGCTAAATGATTCCAAAGCATATAGCAATTTTAAACACGGATCCTTTAATAAAAGAGTAAGTTTTTAAAATCCTCTCTGTACAAAGTTGCAATTGCTAATCATTTGTTTAATTTGGATTTACAGTGTAATGTACAATATAATCATTTTTATTCTTTAAGGAAACGAGAACCTAACTTTCTACTTGATATTATGTTAATAATGTACCCAAGAAGGTAGTTTCTAGAAGAAGCAATGCCGTACATCAAAAGAACGCTAAGAAATGTGGAGTAAATTTAGAAGACAGAAACTGAGAAACAGAAAGCAGCTCAGAGAGACTTGTTATCCAGCCAGAACATGGGATTTAATGTAATACTCCACAAATAGGTTTGCTCCTGTGTCTAGAGGTCAGTGGAAACATGATTAGTTCTGTCTTAGAGATGTTTAAACTTGGATGCCTAACTCTGGTGCTAGGAAAGTGCATGCAGAACCTCCTGATTTCAGTGGGAGATGAACATTGGCATGTAGGGCAACAATACACATGGCTCTTAGGAGGAGAGTATTCACTCAGGCCTTGTACCTTCAGGATTTATAATGTCACTGACATTTCTTTTTTTTTTGTAGAGCTTGCTGCTGCTGAAAGCATGTTTGCTGTAATTTACATTGAATATCAAGCAAAACTAGTGTCACAGATCTGACCAAACACTCTTTACTGGCGACTCACAAGACTTCTGTGAGATCAGCCAGCCTCTGTCTCTCCTGGGTGATCTGAGCTTTCAAATGGACCTCTCAGCACATTCTCAAGGTTTCATAGATTTCATAGACATCAGGGCTGGAAGGGACCTCGGAAGATCATCGAGTCCAGCCCCCGCCCAAAGGGCAGGAAGTCAGCTGGGGTCATAGGATCCCAGCAAGATAAGCATCCAGTTTCATCTTGAAGGTGTTCAATGAAGGCGCTTGAACCACCTCCGGTGGCAGGCTGTTCCAGACCTTGGGGGCTCGGACAGTAAAGAAGTTCTTCCTTATGTCCAGCCTGAAACGATCTTGAAGTAGTTTGTGACCATTTGACCTCATCATCCCTTGGGGCGCTCTGGTGAACAAATGTTCCCCCAGATGCTGGAGGTCACCCCTGATAAACTTGTAGGTGGCCATCAGATCACCCCTGAGCCTGCGCTTTTTCAGGCTAAAGAGCCCCAGGGCTCTCAGCCTGTCATCGTAGGGTCTGCTTCCCTGACCTCTGATCATGCGCGTGGCTCTTCTCTGGACTCTCTCAAGCTTCTCCACATCCTTTTTGAATTGTGGAGCCCAAAACTGGACACAGTACTCCAGCTGCGGCCTCACTAAGGCCGAGTACAGGGGGAGAATGACGTCCCGGGATTTGCTTGAGAAGCATCTATGGATGCAAGCCAGCGTTTTGGTCGCTTTACTAGCCGCTGCATCGCATTGCAGGCTCATGTTCATCTTAAGGTGCAGATCATCTGCCTTTTACTCCCTTGCTAGAGTGCAAATGTGAAGTCTTAACTAGCTGTGCCCTGAGTTAATGTTGCCTGTGGGCATGCAGAGGCTTCAGCTTAAGTGTTCAGGAGGATGTAATAGGTGTAGACAGACAAATCGAGACAGTCTTTGTGCAGAGTTTCTAAGCACACGTTACTGCTCTCAATCGTGTGAGAAACACAGTTCATTCAGAAAACAAGTGTGCATACTGAGTGCAGTGCTCCTCAATCAGCTCACCCTTCCTTAGGGGATCTGTCTTATGTCAGGTGACATCTGGATCTGCCTTAAGAAAAGGCCACTACTCTACCAGGTAAGTACAGTATTATGCCATTTTTCCTCCGATTAAAACTGTCCCCTAGGGTCAGAGTTGTTTTAGTGTGAGTACATGTCACTGGTAGAACATTTAAGTAATTGACCCTCTAGTATTAACCCTTGTTTTAGTAATTTAAGAGAAAGGATGTAACATAAGCATGTTCAGGGATTTGTGCTGGCTCAGACATGATACAGTCTGTGCTGGCTCAGACACAAACTTTAACCCAAACACAGTCCATCAAGGGTTAACTCCCAGGTCTAGGTCTCTTCAGAACCCGTGAAGGTGACTCTGGCTTACTGCTGCAATCTTCTCTCTCAGGCTGGCTGTGACTCAGTTCCCTGCCCTGGTATCACTGCTCCCAATCTCAAGCACTTCGGTCTCTTCCCAGACCCAAAGAGTAGAGTCTGTAATCCTATACTGCAGCCACTGGCCAGACTCTCACAGTCTATCCATCTGTCTGTCTCTGACTTTCTCTCCCTGGGAGCCTTTTACTTCCTGTGGGCCAGCTAATTATCTCCCTCAGCTGGCCCAGTCCTCCTGAGCAGCCTGCAATTAGCGTTACTGCTCACAGCTGGGCTACAGCCTCTGGCCCCACAGCCTACTACAGTCTGCCACAGGTAGTTGCAGGACAGGGTGGCACCTTTAAGGTTAGGCTGTACCCTATGGAAAGCTTATGCTTTTCTGAAGAAGCTAGTGGTACCACACAGCCTCATCTTTGGCCTTAGGAATTTTACTAAAGGACAGACAAAAAGACAGCAGGAAGGTAAAGACCAGCCTTACAATGGAAATGGAATTTGCATTGTAATACAGGTGTGTGCAGGATGCATAATCACCAACAGAATTCTTTGATTTCCCAAATCTTCACAAATATTTTAAGTGATATTTCTGTTTTTCTCAGAAATTTTCTGTTGCTGAAAACACATCACTTAAGGTTACCTTACATTTCAATGATAGATGAAATGATATCCATTGGTAGTGGATAAATGGAAATGCAGTGCTTCGATTACAAATAATAGACATATAGAAGCATTTTTACATAAGGATATGGAATTAGAAGGGATGTCTTGGGTCACTGAGTCCAGTTCCCTGCTATTACAGACAACTTTACAATACTTTATTTATAAGCTGATCAAGCACAGCCTTAAAGTGAAGGCAAGAAACCAAACTGTTTCCACGGGCAGGATGTTCCATAACCATACTGATCTAATGGTCAGTAATCTTCCAATCTGCATTTATTCATGGGTAATTTATATCCACTTGTTTTTGTGCCAGCGTTGTCTTGTAGATTAAGCAGCTCTTCTCTCTCCCTGGTCTTTACTCTCCTGACATATTCATAGAGAGCAATCATATCTCTTCAGCCTTTATTTTGCTAGGCTAAATAAGCCAACTGTTTTAGTGTCCTGTTGTAAAGTAGGCTAATCATTACTCTTAACATTTTAGAAGCCCTTTTATACCTTTTCCAGTTTGATTTAATCTTTTCTGAACAAGTGTGGTGAGAATTGTGTTCTGCATTCCAGATCAGGTCTCACCAGTGCCTTCTCCAGTGGTACTAATACTCCCCTGATACATCCAATCATAGCATTTGCCTTTTTCATGATTAGAACACATGGGTGATGAATCTCCTGCTGTCATTTCCAGCTGATGTGCCCTTGAGAAAAAAAAATTCTTGCTTGTCCTTAAGTGCATAGCCAATCAGACATCATCCCATATCTGTTACGTCAGCCCTCAAGCTTATTCATTTCCTCCTGTATAATAATGACTATCATTTCTGCTGATGATGCTTTTCAATGTTTTATCTAAACAAATTAGCACACTCCTACTGTTTGTGGAGAGTTTATTAAAGAAAATATTAAGTAAGAGTGTCCCAGCACTAATCTTTGAGGAACACCACTTGCAACTTCCCTCTAGCCCAATAATTCTCCTTTCAACACAAACCATTATCATTTCCCATTTAGCCAGTTCTTATCCAGTTTACCTTATTTCTCATGTGGTACCAGATCAATTGAATGTCAGATGGTTTTCTGAAGTCTGACCATATCCTATCTACTACTTTCCCCCTGTCTACAAAATCAGTTATGTTATCAAAGAAAGATATGTTCATCTGTACAATCTTCTTTTGCGTTTTATTCCATTTTACCCTTTTTATCTCATCTGACCTCATGAGGTCCCTTCCTGCCTTATTTTTCTATGATCCTGTGATCTCTAAATCTTAAATCATTCTTTCTTTCAAATTTTGCCATAATGCCTTGCATATTATTGAGACTGGACCAACAGCCTGGCTGTCTAGATAACTATCCCTCCATCCCTTCTTAAATATAAATACCACTATGCTGTTTTCCAGTTATTAGAGATGATTGCCGGCTTACTAGAATTATTAAAAATATTTCTTACTGGCACTGATATTTCATTTGTCAGTTCTTTCAGAATTATGGGATAGAGAATTTTTGGTCCCTTTGACTTGGATGCATTTGTTACCACCTTGGATGTGGTAATTTCTGTTCCCACTAGTCATTCTGCCCTTTACCCTCCATGGTCATTATCATTGTCTCAGTTTTCGAACTGGGACAATGATAAAGTGTTTAGTTTTTGGGCCATACCAAGACTTCTACCCCTGCCACTTCATGGCAGCTCCCTGTCTTGTTCTTGTTTTAATTCCATGGCAGAACCAGCTTTTACTCTTTAACTAGACCTTGCACAAGAAATTAATCTTGACTTTGGCCATTTTTACTTTATCCCTACCCTTCATGATGTAACATTTGTTAATCAGGCTCTTTTCCATTACCTGTAAGCTCTCTGCTTACTCAAAATATCCTTTTCTTGGGTGGGTACCCAATTAGGTAGATAGTCCTCTCTTACATGTTTTGCCGTTGCCTGCATTGCAAGTTACAGGCAACTTTCGTACCTTTGGCAAAAATAAATTCCAAATTGCTTCCATGCTCAAGTTCCTGGGCTCCATAGTCCTGCTGTGCCTATTAATTTGATTCCCAAAGCTTTTCAAAATGTACCCTTCTGAAGTCAGGAACCTTGCTTATAGGACCATTTCTATTAATCCTTCCATTTAAAATAAATTGAATTAACTCATGATCACTCAATCCAGATGTCTTGTAATATATTCACTGCTTTTCAAAGCCAAGTCTAAAATAATAACACCTCTTATTGGTACAATGACTGCTTGTTGAAGAAATCTTTTGGCTCTCACATCCATGAATATCATCGTGCTACTATTCTTAGTTGTATTCATTTTTCAGTCCACCTGGGAAGTTAGTCTTTCACAATGGCACAATTCCTACTACTGTTATTATTTCTAATAAGATTAAAGAAATCCTTGCCCATATCCAAAGCTGACCTATAGCAGACCCTTTGCACCATCTCACTAACATTTTTCCTACCACCATCTCCCAAAAGGATTTTGACCCAAATTGATTTTATCCATGTCATCCCTTATATTTTTTTAATCTCTCACATCACTTGTGTGTGATGCTTACCTACCACCTTTGTGTTTACTTCTGTCATGAACAACAGCTGCCTTTCACTACCCATGTTCCAATCACTACTGCTATCCACCATTTCTCTTTCCTCTGTAATATGTGGTTTCATGTCCTGCCCCTCTAATTCTAGTTCCTCTATTCTGTTGGACAAGTTTCTTGCATTGGCGGTCAAATATTTCAGTTATTTCTCACTGACCTTGTCCACTATTTTTGCTGAATACATCTGAGCCTAGCAACTGTATCTTCCACCTGACTACTACCAATGTCAGTACTGTATAAGGACTTTTCTTTCATATATGTGTACAATTCCATATTGTACTGTTATTGAAATAGAAGTGAATGCAGTGTAAGTGCTATTTTGTATAAGTTACTTTCCAAATGGCCCAATACAGTAAAAATGCATCAGCAGTCCATACTAAGGAGTCATTTACACACAAATCCCACATTCAGTGCACATATATATTACCACTGCCACCTAACCTCACTGCTGACTCCATCATTAGCTGGGGGAGGATTGAAAACTAAAGAAAACTTGCTTCCAACTGTGGAAGTGTATAATAACTTAATTTTTAAATCCTAAACAAACCAGATTTGAGTTTTGTGTCAGGGAGTTGCCTGACTATTGTGTTATTATTAACACATACTTGTTTCTTTGTATGACATGGAAACAAACCTGTTTCTGGGATATCTTTATTTAAGAAAGAAAACACTTAATCAGAATTCACACAGTGAAGAAGTTAATTTTTCAACCTGGAGCACATTGTGTCACAGTTGCAGAGTTGATGTAAACATGTGACAAATACTTGACTTGAATTCCAAATTTTAGCAAAAGTCTCCTGATACAGATCCAACCACTTGAAAAATGAGTTGGTCAATAGCATTGTATAACATGTTGGAAGAAAGGGAAATAAAATCATAGTACTTGATTGCAAAGGCATCAAAAACTATTGTAAATTCAATGTGCTAACAAATGCTTTGTTAGCTGGTTACTACAAACTGTTTTGCATTTATGTACTGCTTGGACATTTTGCTCAATCCTTTATTGAGCGGGCAAAACATGTGATTTGATGTTCTTCAGTAACTGTGTATTACTATGTAGATAATTTTCCTTTTTCTACTCTTAATGTTGGCTATGATGATGATGACAAGGCAGTAGAGTAGGAAAGGGAACCAGAAAGCATTCTGTGAAATAAAGGTGGGGTGGGGTAGGGGGCAGAAACAATCTTTAGTAGCAGTCAGTGAAGAAAGTGGGAGGGGAATGTAGCAAGTATGCAAAGAGGAGCTATACTAAAAAACTTTCCATCAAAAATGAAAACAGCTGCAGAAGTGAATTTTTGCACTAATATCAATTTTCCAATGTGCAGTGTCTCTTAATTGTCTAAATAAAGACTACAGCGTTCTTAATATAATGTAATCATTTACATTGTAATGAATTATTTTATGTAATCTTGCAACAGTTCTTCAAAAAGCATGGATAAAAGACACAAATTATAATACAGAGAACACATCATTTTGAAACTATGATTAGACACTAACACATAATCTACAGCGTAAAAAAAATGAAGTTCTGCTTCAGAATGTTATGATATGACTTTGTTCCCTGAACCCACCCTTCTTTTAGCATTAGAAATACCTGCAGGAGTTTAAATGGAGGAACCTGACATGTTCTAATTGTATTTTAATCCCTATTTTAGAAGCAAATGGGGCACTATATATAAATATTCCTTGCAATATAATTTAGGTATTGGAAACAGTTACAAGGAAGTCCAGTTGCACAGAAGATTGTTGCTGGCAGTCGGCTTTCCAGAAGACCTTCCAATAATAAGGGAGTCACATACATGGAATTCCACTGGTTAAAATTGAGAAGATTCCAAAAATATGGAAGTAAGAAGCAATGTTGCTTTAAAACCTTGGCTTAGGAATGAAAAAAAAAATTCTCTGATGGATGTGCTTCTCCTTATTTTGCCAGTATCAAGGCTGAGCTAGACATGTGAAGATCCAAAGCAGTAATCAACAGGAACACAAGAAATTCAATCGTTTTAAACCATGGATAATGTTTCTTATGAACCAAGGTGCACTTGTACTCTCCAAGTCTAGAACAAGGCACACAAAACAACTGTATCCACTGAATGGAAATTAGTTAGTTCTTTCTCATTAGAATAAAATCCTTATTCTTCAGCACCCTAGAGTATTATAATTTCAAATTCACGAAAGTCCCAAACATACACAATTCAAAATGTCCCTATTACAGAGTTAGGTTTTTCTTTGGCATATCTTCCACTGTCAGCAATGAAATGTGTTTTGAACACTAGGCCTGAAGTAATAGGAGGCAGACAGACCTCCTTCTCTTTTCAGTCAGCTTCATTATCACTAGGTTTTTCTTCTGAACCACATTCTTCATACTTTTCATCCTCATATTTGAGAGCATCATGATCAGACAGAGTGCTTGCCACTTCTACCTGCTCCTCCTCCTCAGATTGGTGGGATTGATGGCTTGCCTCCTCTTCCTCTTCCCCATCACAGAACTGATGAGATTGACAGCTTGCTTTCTCTTCCTCTTCTTCACAGGATTGGTCAGATTGATGTCTCGTTCCTGCCTCTTCCTCACAGGATTGGTCAGACTGTGGGCTTGGTTCCTCCTCCTTACAGGATTCTCTTTCTTGTATTTTATCCTCATTAAGACTATAAAGAAGAAGAGTCGCATGTACTGATCTTTTGTGGGAGATTTTTTTTTAAATTGGTGTTTAACAGAATAAAATTCTAATGTACTCTGGCCCAAATCCTGGTAGCCAAGTCCAACCAGAGTTGTCTCTACAGGGCTAGGAGGACTTGTGTTTAAGGTGAAGGAAGCTATTTCCTTTATAAGGATTACGTTAGCCTCCCATGTTGTGTGCATTTACTCTGCAAGAAGTGAAGTTCCATAAATCTCCAGAGTGGCACCCCTCCATTGCTGCCCCTTGTCTGGCCAGTGGTAATGCAGAACACCCTCTGTAACCTGTGCACTGTGTAAACTTTCCAGTGCACTTTCCCAAATCCTGGCAAAAGCTGTTCAGTGTGGCATGGAATTCTTTTTAACATGAAATATTCAAATGAACACTTCTCAGAGGGTTCCCCCCCCAAATAATAAGATTTTATAAGAACAAAACTCATTAGCAATCTGCTAGGATTTCTGATTAAAATAGGAGTGTCCAGCATCAAACCCATGGAAAATGGCTTATCTGGCCTGGAAGACCCACCTCCAGATCCTGCCTACAGGGCTGGAAATTCAGCAGTGGCATGAAGGATAGCTGTGTTAACCCTGCAGCTGCTAAAGCCACCGTCTTGGTAGGGCCAATGCCTGGGAGATTAACATTGCTCTCACTTGCCCCATCACTGAATTCCTGGTTTGGGATCCCTATTGCAGACAATTCTGTGATGGTGGCATTGAAGCCATAGATACTGGCCCCACCAACACAGCAGCTTTGTCAGTCACAGGGGTTAATACTGCTGTCACTTGACATCCCCTTGCCGCCCCCCTCCCGCCCCCCTAAAATTCCAGGTCAAGATCCTGCTGGGGATAGTTCAGCAGTGGGGCATGCGGCAGCAGCAGTTTGAACACCCATGACTGCCACAGTCATTGTGTCAATGAGGCCAACACCTAAGACAAGTTAATGTTGTTGCCCTCTTGCCCTACTGGTGGAGGTGCGTTACCTAGGTGCTACCTGTGAGAAGCCCCATGGAGCTAGAGCCAGGCCACAGAGCCGAGAGTTTGACATTCTTGGATTAAAAGATCAGAAATCAAAATGTAGTGTTTTTTTCATGTAAGTTACATATCCAGTAGTCAAATAAATATGAGGACCCTGAATAATGAACATAAGTACCTCATTTTAAGTGGCTTTCATGAATTATAGATTTTATACAAATGCTAAAAGAAGTACTAAATGCAGCCAAATAGTCCCCTGAAAAGTACAAATACTTTTGTCTTCTAGAAATATTTAAAAGCAGAACTTGTTATTGCTGACTGTAATAATATACACAAAACAATCTGCTAGTTAATTACCTTTCTCTGTCTTCTGTATATCTTTTAAAGTCTTCATCACTGGAATGATACAGAAGCTTAGGAGTCTGACCCTTCTTTGAAATAAAGTCTTCGCACAACCTGAGTTCTTTTAGTATATCAGAGTAATGCTTTTCTGCTGCTATTCTGGCATTTTTCTATAAACATAAAAAAGCAGTAAAACATTTTCATTATTAAGTATAAGATTATAATGCTTTACTTATGGTACATGGAATCTTACTCCATCAGTAACCCTATCAAATTCAAAGTGATTTATTCCCCAAAGAGCCATATTAGTTAATTTCTTTTGTAGTGCTGTGGGAACATACACAGACCTGCTACTGAAAATTAGCTTCTCCTATGGAAAAGACGCAAAAGTTGCATAGGATGAAACTGTCACCATTAACGCTTCAAGCACAGGTAGTCCAGAGAACTCACCTACATAGCTGAGGTAATGTGTAGCTGCTCCCTCTATGAAGATTTTTGACCCAGTAAAGTGCGTGTTGTGCATGGGGCCACACTCTCAACATGACTACATCTGTTTCTGTCTCCGTTTAAGCACAAAACTAAGCATTATAGCAGTCTGGAATAGCACAGAGTCTTCCAACAAGGACTCTCCTGCCTAAACTTCTGCAGTAAAAACTATTTCTGCTGCATTTGGAGTTATTTACACCATCACAAGAGCCAGGGATGAAGAGTTTGTTTGGACCTTACTGACAAAATATACATAGAGAAAGCTCTTTAACATTATATTGTCATGGCTCAGCAGTGTGAACAGCACCATTATATTACCAAAAACAAGGTGTTCAGAATATCTTACAGATCCTTGGACAAGGAACAGAGCAAAATCATTAGCCATTTGCAAATGGGTTAATTTGGATTACATCCAAATGGATTTAATTCCATTTGCACAGTAGAGGTTTGAGTACCAGTAGCTCAAATCCTTGTATGCTTTAGGATGAAAAACACTCTGTTGTGGTAGATTTTGTTTGTATGTAAAATATAAACTGGAAAAAACACATATGCATTTACTTGTATAAATGGAAAACAACAGCCCCATAAACAACCACTCAGTCTCAACAAGTGTGCAGATTAAATATGTTGTATATTAGGTGTTTGTGGGAGAAAAAATGAATTCTTAATTACAATGCAAGTACACTGCACTTCCTTCTCCCTCATGTAGGGAACACAGCAATCAGCCAGCCAAAACTGCTGTCAGAGAATGACTGTGCTAGACCATCAGTGATGGTAATAAAACTATTTTCATGGGGAAAGGACATATGGATGCAAACAAAACTGAAAAGTGCCATGGACAGGTGAGAAGAGAAATGATGTGCTTCCTTCCAAAACTGTTTTCAAGCATCCTCCAAAAATATTTAAGATTGATACTGTCCCTAACAGGCAATATTTGCAGACAAGTTTAATTAAGGAGTGAGAGTGAGCTAAGGTAACCTGAGTCACTCTT